GTTTTGATTAGTATCTGAAGTGTTAGTTTCTCATAACACAAAAACGCTGATGTGTCTTTTTATGGAGAGATATTTGTGTTATTATAGTATTGATTTTTATTTTAATAACGTATAAGTTGTATAATTTTTCTTAATATTTAATTACAGAAAAAAAATCCGATGACAAGATCACGATAAGTAGCATTGAATATGAAGCTTTTGTTTTTGTAGAATATGTTTGGACAAAATCGAACTTATCATCATCAAACTTTGGATCTAAATTTCTAGTCGGTTATTCTTTGAATTATATAATAAATTTTTTTTTTTTGAAAATTTTATTCCATAAATTAATTTTTTTGGGTTTTTTGATTTTTTAAACAAAACAAGAAGTCTCTCCAACAATCCTAAAACGGATCTAAATTAGTATCCAATACAAAAAAAATTAATGGCGTAAAGTCCGCTAAATTTAGTGGCCCACGAAAAACCCTAATTTCCACAATGAGAACCACCGAAAACTTGAAGTAGCCGTCGCCGCTCTGAAGACTTGGTGGCCACATAAAAACGTCCTAGATGACCCAAACCACGACTGACAACATAGGAATGGCGAAACCGTGACTATACACGCAAAACTGAGCCGAAATCTTCCATGCCGAGAAAGACACAGAGCAGAGAAGCAGGCCAACAGTCCTCGTCTCATCGAACCATTCATTCTCATCCAGAGCCAACCCCAACCCACATCAAGAGCCGCAACCACCAAGAGTTAGCATGCGAAACAAATATCCTTCACAGAACCCCGCAGTGGATGCTAGTTCCACCACCACGACTATGAACCAAAAACCAGAGCAAGACATATGAAGGCAAAGGACCTCGTGGCGAAGGCGGAAAATTTACCTTGGCCCGAGAGCAAAAACCCGAACGATGGAGAAAAGGAACCAATAAAGAAGAAAGCACTGTGAAACTCGATTAAACAAATACATCTAGCATCCCCAAGTAGATCTGTTGAATAAAAGTAGCATCCGAGAAATATCCAACCTAGAAACCACTAACAAACCTGCAGATCCACAGCCACAACGCAACATTATACCTTAGCACTTCGAGATCTCAACCAGAGGCCCTAACAAGAAGTTCGAGAAGAAAACCAACAACCAAGATCACATCGAAAAGATCTGGACTATATCTCAGCAGGAGACACCGCGAAGCCAATGACAAAACTCACGCAGCCACCATGCATCGCCGCCGGTAGTGGGACTAGTCGATAGGTACCTCTCCACGAATGAAGAACAAGAGACCCCAAAAAGACGAAGGCGAGGCCTCTCAAAGCGCCAGCGGTTGCCGGTTGTCGGAGAGGCTGAAGCAAGGAGGAGAACAGTTGCGGCTATGGCGAATTTATTTGGGGTTAGAGAGATTGGAAAGAAAAAATCTCTCAATTCTCTATTTTTTTCTAAAATTTTGTTGTATTATATATCATATAGATAATCGTTCCAAACTCTTTATCATCCGATACGACAAAAAATTGCAGCCGCTCTTCAAAATTTGTCATGTATTTCGCATATGTTGAGAGTTTATATATGATTTCA